GCAGGGAACCCTGACTGCCCCTCAGACTGGAGAATGATGAGGAGAGAAGGGGGAGGGGGAGTGTGTCATGACAAGGGTGGAGGTCAAAGGACAACCTTGCAAAGCCACTTCTCTGGCTGCAGCTTTACATGGGTGACCCAGCTCAGCCTTGGAGCCAGGCTTGCTCAGCAAGAGCTCTACCTGGAGATGCCCCTTGCTGGCCCGCACACTGTGTCTTTTATGACTGACCACTTCAATGTATGTAGCTAATAGATCTGAACTTCCTTTCCTTTGCACAATAGCAGACACTCACCCTCTTCAGTCCCTGTATTCCCACTAGAAGTTTTGGTTGTTTGAGCCTAATAGTCTCGCTGTTTTTCCCCAAAGAGAGGGCTATGTGGCTCTGTTACCTGATGTGGGTCCACTTTAGAAACCCATGAGAACGTTATACTTGAAACACTGATCAGCTTAGAATAGTAACATGTTGTCTCTTCTTTTAACCGGCACTTCCTTGGCTCTGGATCCTGTCTGTGACATGATTCAATGCTGTCTTACTTTACAACCTCATCATTTCTTTCTCACACTTCGTTCCTGAAAGAATATGTTAAACATCCTTTGTTTAACTGTTTTATTCATTTTTTAATTTTTTCATACACTGTATTGTAATCATACTTTCTTTAAGCCCATGGCCTATCTCACCTCATATCCTTGGCCACTCAGTGACAAGACTAGGATGATTCTATTTCACTACTCTTAAAGTGGCAGCCTTTCTTTCTGACTACAGAATAAATTCCTTATTTTCAGAAAGAAAAAATTCTGCTTTTGTATCTTAGAATTGGTTTCTGTTACAGTCTGCCTTCTCCTGCTGGGAACCTATTTCCTTTAGTTGAATCCACTTTTAACTATGTATTTCCAATATGTCCTTCAGTTACTTTATTATCTGGGCTTCTCCCAGTTGCTGTCTTCCAACAGAAAGTCCAAAAATCTGATTATTGTTCAGTTTACAAGACTGAATGTTTCAGCTGGTCTTCAGAATATGCCAGCATTCAGAAGAAGTAGGCTCTAATGCTAGTGAAAACCAACAGAAAGTCCAAAAATCTGATTATTGTTCAGTTTACAAGACTGAATGTTTCAGCTGGTCTTCAGAATATGCCAGCATTCAGAAGAAGTAGGCTCTAATGCTAGTGAAAAAATGGGCTTCCTAGTGAGAATGAGGGCCAGCAGGCATAGAATGAGAGCTTTCTTTTTTATATCCTTTATATAGGCAGTCACCAGAAGGTGTGGCCCAGATTCAGTTAAGGTCGATATTCCTATCTCAAATGATCCAATCAAGGAAAATCCCTCACAAGTGCACCCAGCTGCTTGAGTTTTAGCTAAATCCAGATGCAGCCAAGTTGAGAGCCAAGAATAGTCAACATGGTTGCTTTGCAAGGTTTTTATTTTCACGTGTATTTGGTGTGCTTTTTTATTGCTTTATAAATAATACCATTAAAAATTTCCACCTCCTCCCCTACTCCCATTTCTCTCCTGCTCCTCCCTCCCCCTCCTCCTCCAGTCCTAAGAGAGGGCAGGGTATCCTGCCCTGTGGGAAGTCCAAGGCCCTCCCCACTCCAACCAGGCCTAGGAAGGTGTGCATTAAAACAGACTAGGATCCCAAAAAGCCAGTACATGCATCAGAATCAAACCCCAGTGCCATTATCATTGGCTTCTCAGTCAGCCATTGTCAGCCACATTCAGAGAGTCCAGTTTGATCACATACTCATTCAGTCCCAGTCTAGTTGGCCTTGGTGAGCTCCCATTAAATCAGCCACACTGTCTCCGTGGGTGGACCAGCCCCTCATGGTCCTGACTTCCTTGCTCATCTTCTCCCCTCCTTCTGCTCTTCAACTGGACCTTGGGAGCTCAGTTCAGTGCTCCGATGTGGGTCTCTGTCTCTATCTCCATCCATCACCATATTCAAGATATCTATCAGTATGGCTATGGGACAAGGCAGTTTGGTGTGCTTTTCTGAAGCTTAAATTCTATAAGGATTTTAAAAACCAGTTTACTAATGATAGCGGCTTCACTTTTTCTTTGATATATTTGATAGAATTTCTGAAATAATTCCAAACTTTTTGAAAATTTGTAAAATAATAGAATAAAAATGGAGCAAACTCAGTTATATGTGTATGTTCTTTCTGAGAAAGAGAGTTAGAAGAGAGGATGAAAGAGAGGCAGAGGGAAGGAAGAAAGGTGGGGGAGGGAGAGAACAGAGTGAGAGAATGCATTTTGTGTTTCTGTACTTTTAAGATTCATTTGAAAGTTAGTTACAAACATTGTGACTTTATCAAAAATCATGCCAGTATTATCTTCATGAACAAGAAAACCTCTTACACGTGTGCTGCCGTGCTCAGAGTCAGTCAGTTAACATGATGAAGATGCTTCTCTATTCCACAGGACATGATTAACAGTACTTACTGTCCTGACACTTTTGTTAGAACTCACTATTATTCTGGAAAAAGATCCAATTGAGCAATAAGTGACCATTTAATTTGCTTTGTTATATTGGATCTTTGACATTAGTTTTGTTGTTGTAAAAGTAGTTTGTTTTGTTATTTCTTTTGTAGGCAACAGATTTGTGTGGTATATTTTCAAGAACTTAAAGTATTTTTTCTGCCAAATTAATTTTTTTTTTCTTTTTTAGTTACTTGTTATAGTATTGACAGGTCCTGTCTCCTCCTTCAATTCTCTAGTGTCAGGAGTTAGGCATGTAGTGCAATGTGAGGCTTTCATTTAACATTTCAGCTCAAAGGCCGAATGGGGGAGAAGAGAAGAGCTCAAACCTAAGAGTTAGACATTGTAGCACAGCCGCTGGAGCTAAAGGAACTTGGGTCTAGTATCATTGTATAGTGAAAGACTATTTTCATGTGTGTGTCTCCTTTCTCATTTTCACAAGTGAAGGTGGTGGTATTTCTTTTAAATATAACACAAACTTTTAGGAGTTTTGTTTCATAGTAAATCTTATCAAGAATCCTCAAATATAAATGAGATTAGGTGACTCTGTCTGATTGCTTTGGGATTGTGAGGGAAGAACATAATCTCAAACTTAATTTATCTAAGTGTATCGTAATTTGAAAATCACTGAGCTAAATAATTTTATGGAAGTTTCATTCTGTAAATATATTGAGGTCTATCTTTCAGTGGGAACAATGTAATTGAGTTTCGGTGGGGGAAATCTCTTTGCTCCAAAACTGAAAGTTACTATTAACTCTCAAAAGCTAAATATTTTTTAGTCTAGTGCTAGAATATTGTTTGTTTAGTGTTTATTCCTTCCAACTAGGAAGTTAATTATCTGACACTTTTATAAAAGGGAAAAGACTAGCAGCACCCACTGAGGGTGATGATCTAAATCATCATAATATGTTATGGTAACTTAGATGGCTTAATGGGCTGGAATATAGTTCAGTTGGTAGAGTGCTAACTTATACAAAGCTCTGGATTCTAACTCTACTACCTCATAAACAGTACATAGTGGCTCACATCTGGAACCACAGAGCATGCAGCTGGTAGAGATAAGAGCTTGTGAAGTCAAGGTGATCCTTTGCTATATAATGAGTCAACCTAGCCTACCTAGACACTAAGTTACATCAATGTAAGAAAGAATGAATTGAGATCTCTCATAGAAATATTTATTTCCATGTTGTATTTCAAGTAAAAGTTTGTATAAAGATGACTTCAGATTTATCTACTCCTCTCCCTCCTTCAAATACAAAAGATCACCTAACACTAAGAAGCCAAAAAAAAAAAAAAGAGTATTGCAGAACAAACAAGCACATAAATAATAAAGAATCTAAGGTGCAGGCAAATTTACAAACTGCACAATGATCTCCTGTTACAAGGGATTACTTCATTTCATTTTGAATTTTGTGAATGGTCAGGCTATTTGGCATAATTCACCAGAAGCACGTATATTTCAAAAATCATTATCATTGTGGTAACTTGACACCACGCCTTTGTTTATTTCCCTTTCTCTTTTCCCTCCTTCCTTTTTCTTTTCTTTCCTTTTGGGGTTAGTTATTGGCCCCAGGGTTTTCCACATGTTAACCAAGCACTGTACCCCTTCCCCTGGACTCCCTGGAATCTCACCCCCTGCCAAGCATTGAGAAATGGATGGGAGGCAGCAAGTCTGTGCTGACCATCTTTGTGTGCTGTTTGTCATTCATCCTGGGTAAATCCCAGCACCACACGATATTCACATGTTTCTTGGATGTACGTGCTAGTGATATATGGAAACACATGTTTCAGATCCTTCAGAAAAACCTCAGAGTCTACCCTCAGAAGAGCTACCAGCCTTCACCCGCTATTCTCTGAATTTCAATCAGATGTCCGACGAACTCCCGGAGATGCCTTGTGATGAGGACAACTGTGAAACTGAGATGAGGTAAGTAAGCCTAGACCTTCCTACAGGAAGATGGCACATAATAGCTTAGATGAGCTCAGTTTTCTTTACTATATAAGAATATTTGCTCAAATGTGTGAAATTTATAACCGTTTTTATTTTATTTGTTTGGAACTTGTGCTGACCTAGTATTGTGATTTAGTAAAAGACTTATAAAATTGTTACTTTAATTGAAAGACATTGCTATGTAGTGTGGGTCATTAAAAGGGGACAAAGGCAATAACCCCTCCCCCCAGGATTATATTGAAAAAAAGTTGTCTTGCTTGAATTAATTAGTATAATACATCTCCATAGTTCACATTAATAGAATCTTACCCAATGTAAAGATTAAAGACTAGAATATTGATTGAGAAGTTTTCCCTTTAAAATTGACTCTGGAATTTCAATTTGCATAACTTTACTGCTCATTGCAAATGGGAATCACTTTAAAAAGATATAGAAGTCAACTTGACACATGTTCAACAAAGCAATGAGTTTGGCACTGGCAGTTTTGAAGGAGGACTTTCTTTTAAAATAAGAAAATAAATTCAAAATAAAGATCCTTTAAATATAAGCCCCTAGGATTGGCTTGCATTCTAATGCTCAACTCTAAGGGAATTAAGAGTGTGTAACTATGTCTTTCTGAAAGAGAAAAGCTTTGCCTGAGCTCCTGAACTTTTTGCATGTCAATATAAATAACACTTTAAAAATGAGTAGCATAGAAGTAGTTTTTCCCGTAAAATGTTATTAAAACCCAACTAAATCTATATGTGTTGTCATAATCATTTCACAAAAGAAATTTAATACTAAAAATACAGAGGGATGCATGATATAATGCAGGATGTACAACTAAAAGGATCACACAATAACCACCTGACAGCCCTTGTAGCCTTGTCCCAGCTGGTTCACAGGTGAGTAAGGAATTGTTAATTTGAGCCTGCTTTGGATTTAATAAAATTGTCTGTAAAGATGTCATGTCTATCAGAAGATGAACATTTTCACACTTGATGGCATACATGGGCTGGAAATCCTAGTAACTTTGGACCCAATTATTTGAGTAATACAGAGGATTTTGTTCTCACAAGCTATGTTTGTTTCTAAACCACAGACACTCACGTGTTAGAACTTTGGGCAGTCCACATCTTTCTACAGATAAAATACAAAACAAAACAAATCGAACAAGAACCAAAAACAGGCAAGTAATTAGTGTCATTGAATTTTGGCTTTGGTTGATCTTAGTGACTATCCATATAGTTTTAATTTACTGTACACAAGGGAGTGATTTATCTGAATGTCTATTCATTGGGATTCTTTTAAGCAGCCAATATCATGATGAATGTTCTTAATGATGACCCTGAGGCTCTGCAGGTTTTAGAAGTTTCTTCTAAATCATGAGGGAAGAGCACTACTGGAGCCCATAAATAGTCTCTCCCTTTGCGACAGTTGTAGTTTGGTTTCCTGCAAGTGGGGAGATAATGAGAATTTCTCATTATGAGGAGACTGAGTATATCCTAGGTGCATGAAAACTTACTCTCCCATTCAGCCTGCTTTCGATGGCTTCAGTGTAGGTAGTCTTAATTGTAAGACAAATGGAAGCTGAAACTTGGTGCCCTATGCTGTGTACTGATCTTCTCGTGCATTTACAGCACTTCTGGAAGAAATACCGAAAGGCAGTCTTTGCTGTCACTAGGTGATTATGGTACAGATGAGGATGAGGAAGATTTTCTTGACAAGCAACATGTCTCTACACTTCCATGGGTGAAGGATGTATAACAGATCGTTCCTTCTCCACTTTGTACCCAGAATAAATCAAACAACTGAGTGACTAACGTGTCCAGGTGTTGGAGATTATTAGCGGCTCAAATATTTTCAAGCTGGGAAACTCATAAGGATTCGCGATGGTAAAAGTGGCAGATCCTTTTCTTCCAGATGCCATATTGTATGTCAAACACACATCTATATTGCAGACCACACTGGTAATGGGTAAATTTATGTCAATGAAACTTACCTTAGAACAGAAAACTATTGGGTTTAAGCTGACGAATGTTTCTTATGTAATTATATTTGATAATTACATCAAAAGAGAATATTCTCTATGGCCATGTCAGCAAGGCCATCATCAATGCACTTAAAATTATGGTGCTTTTTCCTGTGAATTGTTTTTGAATACTGAGTAATGGCAGCTTCTAAAGTTCCTTGATGCAAAGGGGAATAATAAGATATAAAATAAAGTGGATATAATATTTGTTTTAGTTCCAGTACATTTTTAAAAAGAGACCTCAAGGCAGACTGAGAAGCCAATGATAATGACACCGGATTTTGATTCTACTGCATGTACTGCCTTTTTGGGATCCTAGTCTGTTTGGATGCACACCTTTCTAGACCTGGATGGAGGGGGGAGGCTTGGACTTTCCAAAAGGCAGGGCTCCCTGACTGCTCTTAGAACTAGAGAGCAAGGGGAAGGGGGAGTGGGGGGAGTCGGAGGGAAATGGGAGGATTGGAGGAGGTGAAAATTTTTAATAATAATAATAACAATTTTCCACCTCCTCCCCTCCTCCTTTATTCCTATTATTCATAGATTTTTATCTTTTGTAATGTTACAGATTTCCTCTCTGTTTTGTGCTTGGAAGATTTTTTTCTTTTAAACACTGCTTGGCCCATTAGTTTTAACCTCTTATTGGCTAGGTCTTATTATTGATCTAACCAATTTCTAATATTCTGTGTTGCACCATGAGCTGGCTCACCAGGAAAGATCTTAACCTGCATCTGTCTGGAGTGGGAGAATCACGGCTTCTTTCTCCCAGCATTCTCTTCTGTCTACTCCACCCACCTAAGGGCTGGCTTATCAAAGGAAGTTTTTATATTTAACATTTTGTTTAAGAGAGGTATATATACTTCTATCTTGTCTTCAATGCCTGTGATTTTCTTTTCCATCTCTTGTAATCTCTTGGTGACACATGCCTCTGAGCCTCTTATTTATAATCCTAAAACTTTCATTTTCATATTTCCTTAAGTTTGGGTTTTCTTATTTGAGTTCATTTATACATCAATGCCTTGCATTGTTTTATTATTTCCTTCAACTGCTTATTTGCCTTTTCATAGATTTTTTTCAAGAGGCTTATTCATTGCTCTTTGAGGATCTCTATCATATTCATAAAGACATCATCATGAAGGCCCTTCCCCTGTGCTTCAAAGATGTTGCATTTCTCAGGGTCTACAGTAATAAGATTGATAGGCTCCATAGAAGACATGTTTTTTTCTGTCTGTTATTGATTACGTTTTTAATCCTGGAGTCTTGGAATCTGCGTTAGCGATTATTGTCATTCTTTGTGCTAATATGCGGTCTTATATTTGTTGGATTTACGTTTTATTCATTGATTTCAGTTGTCTTCTCTCATTCTTAGGGGAGTGTGTTTGCTGTGTATAGCCTGATAGGGCATTGTTCTGGGTTCATGCCAGGCATGGCTACTGGAGTTTTCTGATTAGAATTTGTATTGAGAACTATTTTTTTTGTTTGTTTGTTTTGTTTTTTGTTTGTTTGTCTTGGTTTTTCGAGACAGAGTTTTTCTGTGGCTTTGGAGCCTATTCTGGATCTAGGTCTTGTAGACCAGGCTGGCCTTGAACTCACTAAGAACCACCCTCAGCTTCCTTCCAAGTGCTGGGACTAAAGGTGTGTGCTACCACCTGAGTGGCTGAGAACTAATTAAGAATGGGATTGGCTGATAGCTGGGGTGGGGTTGAGGTGGTTCATAATCTCCAAAAAGAGGAAGGAATGCAGGATGTTCTAAAATGAACTGCTTAATCTCCTGGAAACAGAGGTAGAGAGTAAGGAGAGGTCACAGGAGGTGGTCTACTACAGACCTGTGGATGAGGCTGCTGGGCTTTCATTTGGAGGAGACAAGGGAAAGTGAAGATCTGAAGCTTGATATCGACCTTAGCTATCCTACTTGCTTCTCTGGCAGGGCTGTCTGGGATTTTGCATGGATTCACCTGTTGTAACCGGGGCCTTCCAAAGGAAGGCTGGAGGAGAAGATCTGCTGGACTTGAGAGTGGGGAAGGAGGAACCCGGCCTCACCAGGTGATCTGCTGTGGAGCTTGGGGCAAGCAAGTGGTTTGTGGGAGGATTGTATTGGGAACAGCTCAGTGAAATGTGAGGATCTTCTAGAAGCCTACCCCCTTGAGCACTAATTTTGATTTTTCTTTTAACATGTCTACTTTCACAATTGCATAGACATAGCAGTGAGTCATCCCTCAAATCATCACAGTTGTATAAAAGACCCTTTGGCATCCTTTCTGCTGCTACTGGTTATCTGAGTTATTGTATCGGTAGTCAAAATATATTTTGGCCCTTTTTTAACATAGAAAAATACTTCCTATTAGTATGTTAGCTTCGGCTTAAAGATATTTGACTGTCCTTTCCAGCCCTTGCCCCAAAATATAATTTTTATTGTAGAAAAAAAGTTGTCCTTCCACATGTTTTCTAAAACTCAGTAGTTTTCTCAGCAAGTATAAAAGTGGTTTCTTACTTATGATGGAGATCTGTATCACCCCTGTTCCTTTCATGTAGTCAACATGGTGTTAATCTTTTATGCACTATTTTTGAAGATACCACATTTACGATTCCTGGAGCTACCTGAACAGACGTCTGTATTGTTCACATGGGGTCCCAATGTCAGACAATTACAGTTGCAACTAATCCCTGCTCGGGGAATGAATAAATTTGATGGGATTGCAGATCAAGCATGAGGGCTTCCTTATACAGTTGTTGGTGATCTGAATGCTTCTTCATCACAGCAATGTCCCATACCATTATGGATGAAGAACTTATGGAAACTGCATCATGAAGTTCTTCATTTTTCTTATTTCCCATGTCCTATTATTTCAGAGTTCAACACCATGGGAAAGACCACTCAGACAATCAAGTTTTAATGTTGGAATATGAAGCGGCAGGGCTGCGTCCCCAACACCCTAGCTGCTTGGCTAGCTCATGCCCGAAATAACAA